CGAATGAGGAAGGGGCCAGCGGGTGACGCCCCGGTGAGCAGCAGCCCGGTGGCACCCTGGTTTGGCCCCCGGGCAGGTGGAGAATACTCCTGATGCTTGAGGGGGCCGGAAGTGGCGCTTCCTAGACTCGTGGTAGGGCCTCCCCGCACATAGTAGGCCTGAACCCGTTGTAGGCGCTGAGGCGTGTAGTAGGGCCACTTCCCCAGAATAGAAGAGCTTCACTAAATGCGCTGCTCTGCTCCCTCCTGCCTGCTTGCCCCCACAGCTTCCCAAGGGAAGCGTCCAGACCTCGGTATCCCATTCTTTCCCTTGCCCCTGCCTTGCCCCTGCCTTGCCCCTGCCTTGCCCCTGCCTTGCTGAAGGATGTCTTATGCTGCCTCCACCCAAGCCCCTTCCTGGTCAGAACTTCACTGTGTTAGCCTCACTGCAGGGTGTAATATGTAAGACCTGGTACTGCCGACCCCTTCCTCCCTGGAGATCCTCCCGTTTGATAAATGTTCCCGGAAGTTAAGTGATAAGTATCTCGTCTCCTGGCTTTCATGGCCTCTTGTTTCATGGTGACTCCTGAATCTGCCTTCCTCAACTCTCTCAAAAGTTTGCCTGGATATCTTGAAGACACCTTGACATTAGGCCTCCAGAGCAAAACTCCGCTTCTCTCCTAAAATTGCTTGTCCTCCTATGTTCCTGACACTGGCCATACCTCTCGATTTTTAAAAAAAATCAAGTTTATTGGGGTATTATATGAGACTATTTTAATGGTGAAAGGGCAGGCATCACGGGTTTGGTCATTTAAAATTTTTACTGCTGAGTAGTATTTCATTGTGCTGATGGACCGTAGTTTGTTGGGAGGTATTTAATTTCATAATTACTTACATCTTTGTCAGTCTAATCCCTGTGCTACTCGCTGCTTGTCCTCTTCCACAGCCCCAGTCCAGGCTCTCATCAGCACTCTTTGAATAACCCTCTCTGCCTTCTGTCTCACTTCCTCTCCAATCCATTCTGCACAGAGCCTCCATGTAGTTGTGTAACTTCCTCTCAGAATTCCCCAGCAGTTTCTTACCACCATAAAAGAAAAGCCAAACTCAGTAGCCTGGCATTTGAGATTCTCCATGAATCTCCAGGTTATCATTGCAGCCTCATTTACTGACTCTAAAATACTTTCCATATACAGCAACATTGTATTCATTACTACTTCTGGAACTCTTAATGCCCTGTGTGTTATCCTAACTTTGCTTAAGTTATTTCATTCATTCATTTATTGTACAGGAAATGAATAAGGTACTATATACAGGGTGGGGCAAAAAACAGGTTTACAGTTCATGTGGAAAACAATACATTAATAAATAATAATACAAGAACAGACTTTTGTATACTCGCACTGTAAACCTACTTTTGTCCCACCTTGTATGTTAGGTACTGAGCTAGCTGTAGGGTATGTAGATTTGAATAAAATAGACATGGTTTATTGATCATGAGGCTTACAGTCTAGAGAAGGAGAGATCACTTTACTAAAGATGTATGAAGAATGTGTTATTGTAAATTTTAAGAAATGCTTTGAAGGGCAAGTCAAGAAAGAGTTCTCTGAGGAAGAGCCCTCCTCTGAGTAAACCAACATCTGAAGGATGACTTAAGTAAAGAGAGGTTAGAAAAGCCTGCAGACAGATAGTTCAGCATGTGTGAAACCCTGAGGTGAGAAATCAACTTGGCTAATACCAATATAAGGAAATGAAGAGAAGCCAATGTAGCTAGAAGCTGATCCTTCTAGTGGGGATGCCCTTATTTTTCTCATTGTAAAATCTAATCCTTTTCCATCTTCAAATCAAAGCCAATTTCTTCTATAAATATAAATCTAGTTATGCCACAGTTATCTTTTATATCATGGTCTTTCCTCCCCATTGAGCTATTTAAGGGTAGAGATAGTCTTAATCATCTTACATTTCCAGCACCTAACTCAGTGCTTGGCACATAGTAGACATCCATATGTTGGTTCAAAAGATAATTGAGGACAGTCACTCACCTGCATGCCTCTATACCAGAGCTTCTCAACCTCAGCACTATATGGGCCTGAATAATTCTTTGTTGTGCATTTGTAGGACGTTCAATAGTATGCCTGGCCGCTTATCTACTCAGTGCCAGTAGTGCCCCATCCCAAGTAGTGCCAGTGAATAATGTCTCAACATTGCTGAGTGCCCCTGGCAGGCAAAATGGTCCCCTGTTGAGATCTACTGCTCAGGAAATTAGAATGGTAGGCACCTTTACTTTGCTGTCTGAGAGCCCGGCTCAGTACTCTCTGGCTCCTGAGTAGCTGAAGCAGGGGGCCAGTGGGTCTGTGAGACAGATTCTGATCCTCTCTTGGGGTTTTTCCTACAGACTGCCACTCTCCGTCCCTACCTGAGTGCCGTGCGGGCCACATTGCAGGCCGCCCTCTGCCTGGAGAATTTCTCCTCCCAGGTTGTGGAACGACACAACAAACCGGAGGTTGAAGTCAGGTAGGGAAGAAAAAGGTCATGGTGGGGGTGGTGGGTGCAGCCTCAGAGATGGCTAGAATGTGCCATGAACTTCCATTCTGGAGTTGTCAGGACAACAACAGTTCACATATTTTGTCTTGCTGCCAGATGAACAGTGATTCCTAATTTAGAGTTCAGAAAACAGGGTCAGTGGGTTAGCAGGACAAAACCCAGGGGAGAAGTTAGTCTGGTGTAAAGATTGCTTGACAAGATGTTAGCATGTGCCATGTTATGTTACTTAACACATGGTTTCTAATAGGCATTTAAAATTTTTTTTTATAGATTTGAGAGAAGAAGGGAGAGGGAGAGAGAGATAGAAATATTAATGATGAGAGAGAATCATTTATCGGCTGCCTCCTGCACGCCCCACACTGGAGATCGAGCCCAAAACCCAGGGATGTGCCCTGACCGAGAATTGAACTGTGACCTGGTTCATGGGACAACACTCAACCACTGACCCACACCAGCCAGGCTCTAATAGGCATTTTAATGTGACAACAGCTCACAGACACTACCACTGCAGTTGATTACCATTACATAGATCTAGGGATGCAGAGGCATGAAAATGGGAGCTGAGCTAAGAGGGGTCTTAGTGCAGAATAAATGAATCAATAGGGATTGATAATTAAGATGCCAGACTAAGTTTGTCCTTTTCTCCAAGGCATCCTCTCTCTCATTCCTTAAATGGTATGTGGGTTTGCCTATATTAAAATAAGAGCTGTCGTTTGTAAAGCTCCTCCTACGTGTTCCTGGCATGCTATTGGACACTTGACCCCTCTTTATCTCTCTCAGTCCTTGCCAGTGAAATAGGAATCAGTCATTTTACAGATGAGAAAATTGAGATTCCAGTAGGGTAACTTGCCCAGGAAAAATAACAGAGGAGGCTGGATTTCAAAACCTCTTTGCCTGACTCCAGAGCCTGTGCTCTTTCCATTGAGAATACACTCACTGGCCCCCATCTTGGAGCAGCCCTGCTTGTGAGTCTCCTGTTCCTTGGACTCTGGTCTCAGGAAGTGATTCTAGGACCTGTGTGGGGTCTCCCTGAGCATTCTGTTCCTCTCTAGTACAGAGCCTTTGTGACATTGTGTTTTCAGGAGTAGCAAAGAGCTCCTGTTACAACCTGTGACCATCAGCAGGAATGAGAAGGAAAAGGTTCTGATTGAGGGCTCCATCAACTCTGTGCGGGTCAGCATTGCTGTGAAACAGGTGAGCTCACTGTGGAGCCCCTGCCTCTCCACGAGGCCAGGGATCCCCACTGAGATCTGGGTGGATGGAAACTTGACTACATACCCAGGAAATGATTTGCCAAACTCAGCAGGTCGGTAGAATAAAGAGCAAGCAACTCTTTTTTTTTTTTTTTTAAATATATTTTATTGATTTTTTACAGAGAGGAAGGGAGAGAGATAGAGAGTTAGAAACATTGATGAGAGAGAAACATCGACCAGCTGCCTCCTGCACATCTCCTACTGGGGATGTGCCCACAACCCAGGTACATGCCCTTGACCGGAATCGAACCTGGGACCTTTCAGTCCGCAGGCCGACGCTCTATCCACTGAGCCAAACCGGTTTCGGCAAGAGCAAGCAACTCTTATCTCCTAGGCCAGTGATGGCGAACCTTTTGAGCTCGGCGTGTCAGCATTTTGGAAAACCCTAACTTAATTCTGGTGCCGTGTCACATATAGAAATTTTTTGATATTTGCAACCATAGTAAAACAAAGACTTATATTTTTGATATTTATTTTATATATTTAAATGCCATTTAACAAAGAAAAATCAACCAAAAAAATGAGTTCGCGTGTCACCTCTGACACGCGCGTCATAGGTTCGCCATCACTGGCCTAGGCCTTGCCCTGGATTAGAAGTCAGGAAATGTAGCAGCCTAGGCCATGGGCCAGTTAGTATTAGCTCACAGAACCATTCCTAAGGAGTGAAGAATAAGTCCAGTTCAGGAAAATAAATAGTAACAGTACCAGTACCAGTCATAAACTCTGAAAGTAAGGTTTAGGGTAAAAATCAAAGTGCAATTTTATTTCCTCAGATGTTTTACAAATGTCTGACCTTCCCAGCACCCCCATAATTTTTGCCATATCTGTGTACCATCTTGACAGCTATATACTTAGTAGGTTTCTTTAAATTGACTTAGTTTCTTTAATAGAAGCTATGTCATAAGTGGAAGAACAATATCACTTGCCAGATGGAGGGAACTCTAAAAAATAAACGTAATGAAAACAAACAATGATTCTGTTGCCTACAGGAAGCCCTACCTCTGGGGTCTGCTCTCTGTTAAAAAAGGAGATTACAAAGTGTTGGGGACTGTTCAGGGCATACTATTACCCAGCTGCAAAATTACTTCTTAGAAATATTTAGAAATATTTAAGTTCAGGGAGAAACTGGGAATCGTTTCATGTTCAGTCTCTGATAAGCCAGGTGAAATATATCACAGACCGGGAAATGTAGCACTAATGAAATGAGAAAGAGAAAGGCATCTTTGAATATAGATGAGGACTCTGGAAGAAGTGGGTAGAACACTCAGGTTTGCCAAAATTCCCTCTCTGGAATGGACAAAGATGAGATCATGATAATGCCCTGTTGGAGCACATCTAATATTATAGACCAGGGGTCCGCAAACTACGGCCCGCAGGCCACATGCAAATACAAATATTGTATTTGTTCCCGTTTTGTTTTTTTACTTCAAAAGAAGATATGTGCAGTGTGCATAGGAATTTGTTCATAGTTTTTTTTTAAACTATAGTCCGGCCCTCCAACGGTCTGAGGGACAGTGAACTGGCTCCCCGTTTAAAAAGTTTGAGGACCCCTGTTATAGACCCTCCTTTCAATTGGCAACCAAGTGTCCCATGATTCAAAGTTCAGGCAGAGTGCTCCCAGTCCCAAACCCCTCTGGCTTCAGTGAGCCTTGGGGGAATTGGGTCAGAAGCCCAGGCTACAGGTTTCTGTTGGTTTATGGTATCAGCTTTAGGGAAACTTTTCTGCTTTGCTCTCAATAGGCTGATGAGATTGAGAAGATTTTATGCCACAAGTTCATGCGCTTTATGATGATGCGAGCAGAGAATTTCTTTATCCTTCGAAGGAAACCAGTGGAGGTGAGACTATGATTTACATGTTCATGATGTCCAGGATTCTATCACTAAGTCCACTGTCACTGGCATGGGATTGTTTCTAGAACCAGGATTACTACTTCTCTAACTGTAGGGCATCCAACCACTGCTTGAATTGAGAATGTAGCAGCAAGAAGGACACAGTGAGTCAAATTCTTTCTAAGCTCTGCCGCTAGCTGATTTCATAGTCTTTCAAGGATACAGTTGACTTTGGGTCCTTTCTAAGCTCTGCCACTAGCTAATTTCATAGTTTTTCAAGGATACAATTGACTGGATCAGTTGTTGCTGACTTTGTACTTCAGTCCTCTCCACAGACTCCCTGTCATATTGACTTAAAATGTCCCCAATGACTGAGCAACACCACCCACACAGAGCAGCATGCAGCATCACCAGATACATTAGACGTGTTGGACAAGCTAGTCCTCATTCTGAGCTAAAATCTTCTGGTCCTAGCCCTAACCTCTGAGGCCACCCAGGATAAGTAAAATTACTCTTCCACACACAACCTATCTGTCTCCCACAGCATCTCTTCAGACTAAGTGTTCCCTGTTTGATTTGATTCTTCTATGACAAAATTTCAAGTCTCTTCACTCTCCCTTGACTCATTCTGAATGCTACTATTTGTGCCACAGATAGTCTTGCTGAGACGTCTGATATGCACAAAATCCTCAACTGGGTTCAGTTCCTTGGATCCAACATAGACACCCCACCAGAGCAGGTGGGCTGCTGACTGAAAGGTGTGTAGCTTGAGAGAAGATTGCAATCAGCTGGAAGCATGTGACTGAGTGAACCCAGAGGACATGGCCACCTAAGTTCCCCCTGGGATGCTAATCTCCTTTTTTTCTCTTCCTGCTGTCTTCCTTTCCTAGGGTTATGACATCAGTTTTCTGATCACCAACTTCCACACAGAGCAGATGTATAAACACAAGTTGGTGGACTTTGTGATCCACTTCATGGAGGAGATCGACAAAGAGATCAGTGAGATGAAGCTGTCGGTCAATGCCCGTGCCCGTATCGTAGCTGAGGAGTTCCTTAAGAATGTAAGTAGGGGCTTTCCTGGTTTCCTTCCAGAGACAGGAGCAGCCATGGGTCCTGTTAAGAATTTAGCATCTGGCAGGAAAGTGGTGCCAGTGTGTGAGTATTTCCGGAGGCCTCTAGGATCTCTGGTGGGTGCCAAATCAGCCAGGTGCCTTGAGGCTGGAGAACATGAGCTTCGTCTTTCAGAGGTGCAGGGCATTTTCCATAACTGAGTGTCTAGGGGATACCTCTCTCCTAGTCTTCTATTGGGTCTTAGATGCTAAATTCTATACCTCAAAATGTACAGAGTCCTTCTCTATATCTAGTGCAAGCCCCAAGTGAGGCATGTTAAATCCACATGTGGATTTTCTAGGAATGTAGGACAATTAATCATAGTGTAATTCCACTCCTCAAACAGACTTAAATATTTTCCTTCAGCGTCTGTTTCTCAGGCTTCAAGCCACGATTTCTTCAAGCTGTTTTCCATCACTTTCCTGGCCTAAGTCCTCTGGATCTTTTTTCAACTGTTTGTGCCTTCCTAACTGAAAGGACTGCAGTCCTCTGAAGAGGAGGAATTGTAAACATTGATGAACTGATGACACAGTTGTTCTTGTTTAGATATTCAGGACATGCCGCCTTCTTTTTCTTTTTCTTCTTCCAAACAATCTTTGGTTTGTTGACATGTTCCATTCAGAGTTGACAGTGATCCCTAGATGGTAGATTTATGTTTATTCTTACCAGTGCATACAGGCCCAGCCCAGAAGGAGCTCAGATTCCTAAAAATGGAAATTACACCCGCTTCCCCTGGGCTTTAATTATATTGAGGGCAGCCAGCATACAGAGTAGCTTTACTGTGCGCACAGGGTAAGTGTGCTTGTTCAGATCACACAGGCTATGAAGTTAGACCACCTGGGTGTGAGTCTAGGCTCCATGCCTGCTTGGGCATGGACTGAACCTCTTAACTAAGCTTGTTTCCTCAGCAGCAAAATGAGGAGACTGAGTAATTAATATGAATCTTTCATTGTGGTTGAACAATGAGGAAATATATGTAAAGCATATTACTTGGCAGATAGTAAGTGTTGTATGTATTGTAGTACCAAAGTTTTATTGCCAGGGCACTAGGAGGCCTTTGCATTCAACTGTGAAGAAAAATAGTTCTTGCCCCAATTTAGTACTTAACTCATTCATGCACTAATCACTCTTATGATAATTATATTTTTATAGTTAGGCAGCTAAAAAGCAATTCACATGCTTTATTTAATACCTTAAACAATCTTTGCCCGGCCATAGAGGCTCAGTTGGTTTAGCATTGTCCCATGCACCAAAAGGTTGCCAGTTCGATTCCCAGTCAGGGCACATGCTAGGGTTGTGGACTTAATACCCAGTAGGGGGCGTTCAGGAGGCAGGCAATCAGTGTTTCTCATATCAGTGTTTCTCTCTCTACACTTAAAAAAACACAATCTTTGAGGCAGGTGTTAATCCCCATTTTACAGATTAGTAAACTGGAGCTCCAGAAGTTAAATCACCTTCCCAAGGTCCCTCAGTAAGTGGGAGAACCAGGACTAGGAGCTAAGTTTCAGACTCAGAGATCCTGGAATAGTACTTTGGCATCTGGTAGGGGTCACATATTCAGGTGGGCAGGTAATGTATGTGAGTGAAGTGGATTGTGTAGGGACCTAGTGAACTCATGCCTCACCTGAAGAGGATCACCACCATACAGCTTCATCTTACAGCTTTCAAAAGAATCCCAAAGTCTTGCCTGGTTAGCATGGCTCAGTGATTGAGCATCAACCTATGAACCAGGAGGTCACGGTTCGATTCCCAGTCAGGGCACATGCCCAGGCTGCAGGCTTGATCCCCAGTGTGGGGCATGCAGAAAGCAGCTGATCCATAATTCTCTCTCATCATTGATGTTTCTATTTACCTCTCCCTCCCCTTTCCTCTCTGAAATCAATAAAAGTATATTTTAAAAAATAATAAAAGGGACTCTTTCCCCCTCCCCATGTGGGAATCTGTACTTGTTCTTTAATAAATTTCCACCAGCCGAACCGGTTTGGCTCAGTGGATAGAGCGTCGGACTGCGGACTGAAGGGTCCCGGGTTCGGTTCCGGTCAAGGGCATGTATCTTGGTTGCGGGCACATCCCCACTGGGAGGCGTGCAGGAGGCAACTGATCGATCTCTCTCATCGATGTTTCTAACTCTCTATTCCTCTCCCTTCTTCTCTGTAAAAAAATCAATAAAATATATATTTAAAAAAATATATATAATTAAAAAAAAT